AAACTAATCTTACAGTATGTGGTCTCGATGTATAACATACATCCCGCTTCAAAATTATCCTTCCTATTTTGGGTTTGTCCATCAACAATATTATCGATCATCTTTGATCAACTACCTCAAAATTTCTAATCTCCAAGATGCTGTTTACATGCATGTTTTATTTAAATAGCACTAAGCCACTAAGTGCATTTTCGCATAAATAAAAGTCTTAAAATGAAGAAACCCATTAGTATTATCTTTCCTGAGAAGAATGCGGACTTCAACCTAAAGAGGCACGTATTGCGCATTACATATGTAATCATTTCAAATTTGCTTCAGCTACCATTTATTTCAAATACTTTCAATTTTATGTCTTGTAACTTAACTTCCTGTCGTATTTTACAAAAGTCGGAGTAGATTCTCTTAGATTCTTTATCACATTATCACTTGACTCTTTGGCACTTTCTACTTTACTTCTATTGTTGAAACTCTTTTTCTTAGCTGGGAATATTTTACCGAGAAAAAATTTAACTATGTTACTTATTATAACCTTGCAACGAAATTCTCAGGAACTAGACATTGTCGCAGCAAACAAAGAAACCGATAATTAGACATCCGACTGTGGTTTACAGAAAACTAAAAATTAATTTGTAGTTACACAGGTGTAATGATTAAAAAATAATTTCGAGTAATTTAGGAGTTTGATCTTGTTATGTGATGATTAATTGCGGCAATGCAATTATATACATTTTGGATAAAGGAATTTTAATTAAAATAATATACCTCACTACCTCACATGCATTAACTGCCAATATAGTATGTCAAAATTATGGATAATATAAAAAGTGCATTATCAATCAACGTATTTTTTATGATTGTACTTACAATTAGTGTCTTAGTGCTACTTAGGTAAAACATGCATGTAAACTGCATCTTGAAGATTAGATATTTTGATCAAAGATGATCGATAATATTATGGTTGAGCAAAGCCTATTGGAAGGATTGTTTTCAGGCAGGATGCCCTTTATAAGTAGAGATAACATGCTGCAACAATATATTTAAAGCTTATAAGCTTTAAAAAAAAATTTAGATCATAAAATTTTATTTGTATTTTTTGAATCCAACTTTACTCATTAGTGGCAAACTTATGTAACAGGAAAAATGGCCTACTTGTTCTAAGAGTAGTTTTATGATTGCTACGAATTATGCTATGATTGAGTTATCTAAAACATGTTCTGAATTTTTTGAAAAGCCTATTTGGAATTTTAATTAGGAGGAACTAAATTTTTGACCAGACCAATATATGAAAATAAGAAGTATTTTGAAATAATATCAAATATAATAATAAATATAAATACCAATTATAATTAATTCGTCTGAAAAATTAACAAGCATTACAAAATTCGTATGCATCACGTTTAGCCCAATTCATATCTCTTATTCTTATTCCATATTTTTTATAAAATAAATGATTCTGAAAGGAATAAACCAAAAACAGATATTCATTCGATATTAAAATAATCAGTTCGATTCGATAACAGTATTAAATATTATTTATTAAATATCATTAGGGGTTGGAATAATATCTCGCCTTTCAAGCAAATGGTGTATGTAATCGAAGATAGCTATATTAATTACATTTATCATAAACATTAAAATATAAATATGAAAAAAATTAACGATAGGTTTATAACAGAGCACTTGATTTTGAAATATTAAATAAATAATAAAGTCAAAAATATCAAATTAAAGTTTAATTTGATAAACAATAATGTATTTACTTTCATTGCAAGACCAAAAAGGAACTAATGAACAACTGCCCATATAGATGAAAGAAGGTTTCACATAAAAAATTCAACTCGATTCCTATAAAAGATTTTTCTGGTGAGAGAAAAATGTATGGATCGGTTCCAACGTTTTCCAAAAAACTTAAATAGATAATGAATTGATTTAACAGCTGCTCGACAATATTTAAACACATTTAACCATTTCTAAAATATTGTAAAAGATAAAATTAACAATAAAATTTATTCATATGCAGCATTTTTTTTTTAACTATATGAGCCTCGTATTGGTTTTAATAAGTAAAATAAATATACAAATATGTATAGCTGATTGGAACTCGTTTTCGACTATAACCTATATATATCATACGGAAGCTGATATATGGGGAATTAAAATAATTTCTAAATACAATCATAGACGTGAACTTCAACGCCTGGGAACGATTTCAAATCATAATTACTCTTACAACAGATTTCTTGTACGATTTTGATTCAATGCTAATTGAGTTCCCGCGCGTCTGTCGCTCGGATTCACTTTGAGTTTTTCCTAGTCGTTATAAATCCATATCATAAATTTTTAAAATTATTTTATTTATACATATGCGATAAATTGGCGAAAAATTGTGTGACATTTTTTAGGACCTGCGATTTTGATGCAATTATGGTATTGTGGTGGAAATAATCCTTCATCAAGAAAATCATAAAAATTTTTGAGTTAAAGGCATTTTGCCTTAGGGGACGTCCATTAATCACTTGATCAATTTTTAAAGATTTTTGGAACCCTTCCTCCCCCTTGATGATATTTAAAATTACCCCCTTCCCTGATTAAACATTACGTGTATTAAGCACCTCGAAAAAACAGAAATTTTTGGATTTTTTTTTTTAATTTTTAAATTTTATTTTGATTTCAGGTGATGTGAAAAATAAATTCATAAGGTATTTTATCTGACTCCCCCCCCTCTTCACGTGATATTTATTGATATTTGATCAAACCTCCCTCTTTTAAGCACCACGTGATTAAAGGACGCACACTTATTGTTAGTTGAACACAAAAAAGGTGTAAACAATTCGGCTTAAACGATAAAATTTGAGATTACGTGTTTAGATAAAATTACTTTTGTAATTTATCTGTTTAATTCAAAAACACAGATTTTGCTTCCACTTAAACTAGTCAATGTGATTTTAAATTGATACCTTCAAACAAATTTATAATATCTGTAATCGAATTAATTATTCTGCACAAACAAGCGTTTGATGTGTGTCCAAAAATTGTGGCCTTTTTTCCAAACTTCAATGAGAAAGAATATTTTAAACCAAGAACCTTATCGTCGTGTTAAGTTTCATTAAATAGCAAAAAAAATTAAAATTATACTTTCAAGTAATAGGAATAAATGGCAAAGCGGGTTTGTTTCAAAACTAATCAGTACGATATCCAACTGATATCTTTTGGCGAAAATTTTTGCATTTTTCTATTAACTATAAAAAACGACTAGGCCGATCCTCGTGAAAACTAAACAACACCAGTCCTTTTCGATTTGCATCAAATCGCTTCTGAATTTTCGAAATCGGTTCGCAGTTTTTGAGAAACGTCTATCCAATGTTAATTGGGTTCACGTACAAAAACATTCATTTACAATTCTGGTCTCAAACGATTTAGAACAACTTAAAACGTCGAGAAAACGAGCAAAAAATATAATAGAATTAGCAAGTTGAATTTTCTGGCGAAAACAAACATCAGAAAGTTCAAATTTGAAACCTTTTCAATTTCAGCACAAAAAAATGGATAATTCAATATTCAATTCAAGATAAATTGTAATTTGCAAATTATAAATTTTCTTGAATTAAATCTAAATTCTTCATTTTTTGGTGTGGAATTTTTGGAATTTTTGCTTTATGATTCTCAGGAATTATCATATGATCGATGTGAGTTGGGATTGTATCCTTAAATACTTATTATCAATAACTAGTTCTAGTTGGTAATTTATACAATAAAGCCCTGAGGAAAACAATTGTTTATCAGTGGTTTAATCGAAAATCTATAAGTACTTCGAAATATTTAATTTTTTAACCCTCCGTCGGTCGGAGTGGTCTGGCCAGACTTTTTTCGACTTCAATTTAAAAAAATAATACTTTGGTAATCCTATCGACTTGAACTTTTTTGAATTTATCCTAAAATTTCATTAACTGTCGATCAATGAATAAATCAGGACAAAAAATGTGTGATCTGGCCGTTCGAATGTAAATAAATATCCGACCGACGGAGGTTAAATATTAAACACATAAATTTTCAAAAAAATATATCAATTATAATCTAATTGTCATTTGAATTGCAGTGAATAATCTGGCGGCTACCAGCACAAGGCTTACGTAGCGGAGGTCCTGCATGCTACGAGCGAGACCCCAAAGTCTCAATTAACAGAAAATGGATCACAAAAAACCAACGATAAAACATAGACATAATTTTACGTTTTTTAGTTAAATTATACTAATATGAAGTAATACAATTTTTCTACAGATACGTTAAAATGCTTATTAACCAGTTAACTGTGATTGACAAATCGTCATGAAGAAGGGGTAGAAGTTTGGCGAGTATACTCGCTATCAGTGGCGGGTCCAGAGGGTGGGTCACGAGGGTCATGACATCCCCTTGAGCTTGTCTTAAGACTTAGATAGAACACTAATTCAGCAATAAAATTACTTCATAATGGTTTAATTTATCCATTTTAGTTTACTCTTCTTTTATCTATGAATTTATCTATTTTGTTACCAAACACATTTTATAACTTCAATATGTATTCAACGGCGGCGTCAAAGAATCCTAAAATTTAAGGATGTTCTAATCGTATTGCGAATATATTTTCTATACATAATTTAATTATGTGACTCCCCGCCTGGCGCCAAAGCTGAATCCGCCATTGCTCGCTATGCATATAAACCTTTGACCATACCCTTTTGAAAAAAAAACTAAACATTTTCAAATTTCAATATATTTTGAGGAATAAAATAAATAGTTGCAAAGCGGTTTTGACAGCATGAAACTGCGTGCACAGATCAAAGAAAATGTCGCAGTTAACTGGTTAATTTATTGCATTTTTTTATTAGAATCTTTAACCGTGGATTATTTCTATTAAAAGTTATTAACAACGCCAGTGAATATTTAACATCGAAAATACCAAAATCGAGTGATATAACAAAACGTCAGTCTCTTACCCCTAGACAATATAATAATGCTCTTACCTGCATTTCCATGATGGTCGTGTAAGGTGTCCTGCAATGGGCCGAGCCAACAAAGTATTTTTAGCACGTGTTATCATCAACTCAACTAAAAGATATTATGTTTAATAAAACAGGTTGGTAGCTAATGATATATTAATGTCACTTCCCAAAGTAATTTGCACTGCGCCAAAAATGTCCTTCATGTAGCTTCAATTCTTGGTTAAGTGTTAAGGTCCTTCCGTCCTTCCATGTGCCCAAACTGTCACTGACGGATAATGACGATAACTGGCGTCATGCGCAAGCGCAGACATTTTTGATTGGGTTTGATCCCTTTTGGTTCGGACAGAAGAGAAGGACCCTAAATGTAAACATATCTTCTAAATGTGAATGGTCATGTTATTTTAAAAGGTTTTGCGTAAGCGTTATAGAAAACAACCTCGCATAATATCATATTTCGACTTCACCACAACATGGCACAACAAACCATCTGCCACCACCACCTTGCAGATATTGCATATTTCTTTTTGGCTTTTTAATCAATTGTATATAAAGCACAAATGATTAAAAATACTGATTATTTTTCACATAACCTGTTGAAATTTAACACAACTATTAGGCTTTTGTCATGAAATTTTAGGACAAATAGAATTCAGAAGTATTTAAGCAACAAAAATTCCAATTAAAGTCTGTGAAGAACATTTCAATACAACTTGGTCATTTTTACATCAAAGAAGCATTCTTTTTGTAATTAATAAACTATTTTACATGGAACAATATTATTATAATATAATGTAATAATGAAATGTTACTTCATTATTCAACATATAGTACAGGCTTTAAAATATTTTAGCTTTTCGGCTATTGTGTTACATTTGCTACAAATTTGAGTAGATTAAGGAAAAGAATGCAAATTCGTTTATCCAAAATCATATTATTGTCCTCCTTTTATTAAAATTTTATAACTAACAGAAATTATAAACTTAAAGTTAAGATAAAAATAACTTAAATGTTAAGATAAAATAAGTTTAAATAATTACGATTAAGTTTAGAATATAAATACATCTAAGTCATTTTGTATTGATAATTTAATGAACACTCTTTAACCTTTAACCACATGCAAACGATTATGTAAAGATAAATGGGACAATTAAATGATCCATTTTTGACATAAGTTCATCTTAATGCAATTTATAACTTAAATATTTAATTTCCCCTATCTTTATATAATAATAGAACCGAGGAACTTTTTAGTAGACTTTAGTAAATGGAACTCATTATGCCCTTATCATTAATTAATGAGTAATAATCATTTACATCTGTAATCATTAATTAAACTGTAAAAAATCTTGAGCAAAAATATTTTAAAACACACCATTGATTTTATTAATATATATACCTCTATCTATTAACAATAATTTTTATAGTAGGTTATCTCGCTGTTTATGAATGAAGAATTATATCAAATACTGTTAATTGTAATAATTTCATTTAAATACTTATATTGCAACCAAATTAAAATAATTTAATTCACAATAATTTTATATATGTAATGCGTAACCATGCTTATTAGAATGTAATATCATTAAGTTTTGCTTTGTAAATATTCTGCAATATAATAAGTAGTATATTAAGTAATTTTATTA